AACTGGGCGCCCAGTTCCACCCGCGGCTGAAACTGACCAGCGGCTGACTACAGGAAGCCCGAGGCAGAGTTGATCTGCCCCGGGCTTCCTGGAATCAGCCGCTGATCAGTTTCAGCAGCAGCTGACTTGGGGATGCCTGGGGTTCTTAAGTTGAATTTGTATGTAAGTCAGAACTGGCGCCCAGATTCAGCCACTGTTGAAGCTGATCAGTTTCAGCAGCGGCTGAATCTGGACGCCAGTTCCGACTTACATACAGATTCAACTTAAGAACAAACCTACAGTCCCTATCTTGTACGTAACCCGGGGACTGCCTGTAGTAGGTTAAGGATATGGAATGGGAATAGAATCAAACTTGCAAGCAACTTTAAGTCTGAATTTACAAATGTACCATTAATATAGAATTCCTTGTGGTTTCAATAAATGTGATGTTTTATACGGATTTTAGCAGAAGCAATTAATTATATTGGAGCTTGAAAACACCACTTGCTTTTGATCAGCAATCAATGTTCTGATTAAAAGCCAGTAACTTTGCAAAATGTAAGTTTTCATTGTAAAAAAAGATTCCCAGCTTCCTACTTTTGAGGAAAACTTTCTGCACCTGAGCCAAATGTAAATATTTTAGTACTGCTTTCCAAAGACAGACAGGTAGCCTGCTGCAGAATAACTAACCTTCTAATTTTTTTTGGTAATGATACTTGGAGAACCCTATGAACAGCAAATAATCAGATATTTGTTGTGTTGTTGCTTGGACACGTTTTGAGCAGTAACAGAGGGCTGGAGCTAGTCACTCGGGAAGCCTCCTCAAAATTGGGGACTATTGAGTATGACACATCTTGCCCAGCAGACAAAGTTTGGGGAAGGGATAGATTAGTGAATACTCTACTCACCCTTGTAGTGGTAAGGAGGCTCTCCAGTGGGAATATTCATTTTTCTTTTTGGAAAGAAGCATCAACTGTTTCAACTATATATTTGCTGCAAGCAGATATAAAATATGGAGCTCTTGACTAGAGTCCTGGTAGGTAATCCACTACCTTCCTTCTTCCAGCCTCCCAATGGTCATTTTCTTACCAGTTCATTGCCCCCTTAAGAACTGTTCCCCAATCTTTGGTATCAGTTGTTGTCTTAGGGGGTTTAATCTTTTAGCTGCTACGTGTCAGTAGTAAATTTTTTGGTCTTATGCATGTGGGAAAGGGGGTGAAAGGAAGAGGGGTTGATAGTAAAAAATTAAAATATTGGAGTAGAGAGATTTTGGAAGTGAATGTGGGAGGGAAAACAAAACAGAAGAAATAGAGAACAGACAGTATAAAATCAGAGAGCTGTTAAAGGAATGGAGGTGGAAGAGTAAACCCAAATTGAAATGATAGCATGATCCACATATTTTTTTGAAGCAATTTTAATTATATTGGTTTCTGAACTTACATAGTTAAATGGCTGTAGCCTCCTACTGTGGATCCAGTTATACTGCTTATACGGCTGTAGCTTATTTCAGTAAAGATGCCTTATGATCTTTTATTGGAAGGCAAACATGCCTGAGAGTTGACCTAGGGAGAGTTCGCACAGGTGTGCTTGGTTTTTTGTGCCTTTTCAAGCTTCCTAATTCAGTAAATACAGTATCTGAAGAGGCTGTTACAAGGAAGACAGTATGGATAGTGAATGATCAGCTGTTGTGACCTGCAAAGGATATGCCATGTATGTCTTTCTCCTGGAGGATAGAAATGACTGTACGAAGTGCAAGCTGATCTCCATATTGGAAGAGAAGATTGAAGAACTTGAGCCCCAAATTTCTACAGAACTGAAAACTATATTCATTATGGGGACTTGGGCAAATCATGCTTAGGGGCTCTTTTACATGAGTCTCTGGCAAATAGGAGTCTCTAACAGCTGAACTCTTCTCCATCTTCCCTGAATGTCAATTTTTTCCATACCTTTAATGCAATAAATAAGTGTTATAATTAAAACCTTTTAAAAGACTTTGAACTATTTCCCCTGTCTTTGTTAGCATGCAATCATTCCATTCCCAGAGCAACATGAGAAATAGTATGGACTATTGCATGCTTCATTAGGTAAGCAAAATATTATTTAGACACATGGGTTTCCCGGACAGATATTTAAAAGTCAGAGTTAAAAGGACCTTACATTGAATTCCATGTGGTGTGCTTTAGGTCTGGTACCATGGGGTGGTTGTGTATAACTGGGATAGATAAGAATTCTGACTAGACCAAGGCTTGCTAGGGTTTTTTTTCTTCCATTCTTTATGGTTTATCCAGTTCTGCTAATTTGACTGTATTTTGTGTCTGATATGGGGGTGGGGGAGGCAGGCGGCACCATGGAGATGGTGTGTGGGGAACCAGATTTTAACTGACTCTTGTTGCCTCCCTTGCTGCCTCTCATACAGAGAGGCAGCAAGGGATGGGGTGGAGAAGCGAGTAATCAAGTTCTCCATTTGACTACCCAATAAGCTTATGCTTTGTTCTGTGACCAAAAATAGCATTACATTAGAAGGTGTTCTCCTTGTATATATGCATGTGAATTATATTTAACAGCATTTGTTTATATGGCCATAAAGAGGAGGTAGAATAAACATGTTCAGGGGATCAAGAGAAACATGTTGGGACAGTACCTGTCCTTTTAAGATAGGAGTTGGTGGGAGGAGGCAGCAGTGAGATGAAAGAGCCCTTGGAGAAAGCTTAGAATCTCCCCTGTAACAGAGAAATGTAATGTCTTTGTCCTTCATTTTTTTCTTACATTAGTTAATTCATTGGGCAAGTGAAAAATGTGTACTTAGTACCCTTTTCTGGGCAAATTTAGTGTCTTTGTTGGAAGTTTAAGCAGTAAATGTGAGATTCTGCAAGAGGATATGGTACTTTCCACCTTTTTATCACTTGAGAATAGTAAATGCCCCCTAATGTTCATGTAAAATTTCATAGTTAAAGTGCAACAGAAATCAATTAGAAAACCTGCATGGGCACTGATTAATGGATTTAAAAGTAGCCATTCTTCTACAAAGGAATTTCACAAACCAACTACAGAGATGGATCAGCCTGGATCAGTCCACACGAGAGAGCCACTTTTTTGACACATTTCCGCCACTTTATACCAGAAACCTACCGACCGCCACACTTACCTACATGTCTCTAGCTTCCATCCAAGACACATTTACCAATCAGTTGTTTACAGCCAGGCCCTAAAATACAGCTAGATTTGCTCCAATCCCACAGAGAGACAGAGACCTACAGGATCTGTATAGAGCATTCTTAAAACTGAAATACCCACCGAGAGACGTGAAAAAACAGATCAGAAGAGCACCCAGACATGAACTACTTCATTACAAGCCAAGAAGAGAAACCAGAGCACCACTTGTCATCACCTACAATCCACAACTTAAACCCCTCAAGCTCATTATCAACAATCTACAACCTATCCTGGAAAATGACCCCTCACTCTCACTGGCCTTGGGGGAAAGGCCAGTCCTTGCCTACACACAACCCCCTAACCTCAAACAAATTCTTTCCAGTAACCATGCAGTACACCTACATCATAATCATCTAGGAACCACATCACACTGGACCCAACCACATCAGCCATCACATCAGATGCTCATTTAACTGCACATCCACTAATGTGATGTATGCCATCAAATGCCAGCAATGCCCCTCTGTCATGTATCTTGGACAGTCTGTACAGGAAAGTATTAATGGACACAAATCAGATATCCGAAAAGGCTCCACACAGAAACCTGTTGGGAGAACATTTTAACTTGCCTGAGCACTCATTAATGGATCTCCAAGTCATCATGTTGTCCGGCAAATTCCACAAACCAAATACACAGGGAAGCTTTGGAACTTAACTTCATTTACAAATTTTACAGGTTTGGGACACATCATAAAGGTATGAACAAAGACATTACCTGGCTAGCACACTACATTCCACATACTAATGACTTAAAAAACCAAACAATGGGTACTTAAGAATAACTTGCACCTTCTCTATCAGTTTCATGTGGCATAAACAGTCTAATTGACTATTTCTTTCTCCATTTTTCCTCCCCATGTCCCATATTTATTTTGGAACTGGACCTTTATTTACTCCATTCATCTGAAGAAGTGGGTTGTGTCCATGAAAGCTGATACCATCTACAAGTTTTGTTAGTCTTTAAGGTGCTGCTAGACTATTTGTCATTTTAAATTTTTCCAACTACACAGAGAAAGTGTAGAATTGACCTTCATATGCAAATTTGACACTGGCTCCTATGGCCTGAACAAAGACTTGAACTGGTTAACTTTATAACACCAACTTGCCTTACATTCAACAGCCTATTGACATAAACTAAGTATGGGACACTTTCAGCCCACTCAATTAGCCTAATTAGCACCAGAACTACAGTTGACAGATATTCTTTGTTTTCTTCTCTCTTCTTATTCTGAAGTACCCTCCCCCGCCCTTTTTTTCTCCACTCAGTCTCATTTCAACTGAAGAAGTGGGTTTTGATCATGATTTTATTTATATATTAAAATCAATGTCTGAAGAGGCTCTTACAAGGAAGATATGAATAGTGAGCAATCAGCTGATATTTGTTGTGATTTAATTTTATACACACATGCATTATAAAATATATATATTAGTCTCTAAGATGCCACAGGACTACTTGCTTTTTAAAAAGCCCTTTCTTTGTAGACTGCCTACAAACAGTGCAAATACATACTGTATTTTTCCTTCTCATCATGTGGATATGTTGTTTTTTTTTAAGAGTTAGTTTGTTTATTCAGGTCATCTATTCTCCATATGAAGCCATACTACTCTGGTATGACATTCTCACAATAAACAACCCCTAAGTCAGTGAAAAGAATAAGTAGTTCATCTCTTCAGAAACCTAAGAAGCAGCAAATGATTTTCTGTGTCCATATACAGCAAATCTACATCCTGGTTTCTTTATTTGATCATTTGCTACATTGATTAGGCTACATGCACGTCATTTGCAGTAGCAAGTATGATGAGCACTGTAGAAATATCTATGATGAGGATAATTTAAAGATGAGTGTGTTCTCTCGTTTGAAAATGTTGAAATCCTGCACGTTACTAGTTAAGGAGGGAAACTCTCTCCCAGGTTCTGTAGAAACTTTGATAGCTTTGTTCACAATTTTAAAGCAAACCTGCATATTTAATTAAAAAAACTAGGGATTTTGGAGTGATGTACTGAATGCCCTAAATAAGAGGTTCCCAAACATTTTTACTAAGCTCTCCTTCTCCATCGGTGTCACATAACGGGCTCTCCCGTCCACCTAGGGCAGGCATGTCCAAAGTCCGGCCCGCGGGCCAATTGTGGCCCGTGTTCTGGTTTAATACGGCCCCCCGGGTAATTTGGCAATATCTATCTTTTATGGCCCCCAACGAATCCATATGTATTGAGATGAATACATTGTAAAATCTCAGTTAATGTCAGTTGGTCTAAATCAGTTATAAATATATTTGGACCCAACATGTATACTTGGTGTTATGTTCCTGTTCATATTTTTTGAACTTAAAAGTTGACAGACAACCTTTATTACCAATAACATGTAATGTACTTTACAATGTTCCTGACATATATTTCAGCTTCCTGGATTTTTTTTTCATCTGGCCTTCAGATATGAAAGGCAGAGTGATTTAACACCTGTTTAGATTTGTCATCCATGTGACGAAATGAAAAGTATGCCGTTTGCAATAAACCTTGCATAAAATAGTTAATTTGCATTTAATTTTAATGGTTCAAAGAATGTCAGGCAAAATGGTCGGCCCTCACGCATGTTCACTTCATCAAATCTGGCCCTCTTTAAAAAAAGTTTGGACACCCCTGACCACCTCCTCCCCCACACCAGCTACAGGATATTATGTTCTGCAGGCTCTGGAGGGTATAAAATACACATGGCTGTGGCTGCTGAGTGGCTGGGCTGGAGCAAACAGCAGTTGGGAGAGCATGCAAAGTCAGAGCCTCCAGTGCTCTGAGAGGAGAGAGAGAGAGAGAGAGCAGCAGGCTATGGCTGGGGTAGGGCTCCTGTGATAACCTTGCAGTGCCCTGCACTTTGAGAACCAGTGCCCTAAAGTTAGTCAAAAGGGGCCTTACCTTTTTAAGAGTGCATAACTCAGGTATGCCGTGGATTGCCAGCTCTTTGCTATGATACCCTGAATGTGCCTTTTGGTCACAGACCTTGTGCTGTGTAAATCCACAGAAGATTGTTTGGTAGTCTACAGCACAGTGGGCCTACACTCAGGTAAATGAGGCCTCTTAATTTGTGTTGTGCTAATGCTGAATTTTGCATCATGCACTGCTGCTAAGAAAGGTGTCCAGAAAACACAGCTTTTACTAGATCATTCTAGTATTTTCCATTTTAAACGTGAATTCTGTGTATTTCTGGCAACTGCCTAATCTCGCCATTCACTATAGGGCATAGTATTGATTCCACAAAATTAGGGGACTTTACAGAATGTAGGGCTGTGAGTCATACCATACATCGGTTGCAGTGATGGGGAAGTCTACTTCCTTTCAAAGTGCTGGATGATGGGAATGGGAGGGAAGCAGGTGTGGAAGGGGAACAGACAGATAGCTGTGGAAAGTGAGAGGCAGCAGCAGAGCCAGGTATTCACAGGAGCGCAGGTGGGGAAGGGGCCAAGGACATAGTGATGGAATAAATGGGAGGAAGTGGGAGGAAGGACTAGATACTAAGAGGGAGAAAGATTGAGACAATACTGGCTATCATGGGGGTAGGTGTCAGTCTGTAACATCCTTTTCAGAGAAGCCATTTGTCCAGGCTCAGCCCTGGTCTGTACTGCAAGTGTGGATAGGAGGAGGTAGCAGTGAGGAAAAATCCCTTTTTTCGTAAAATGAAATGGAGCCATTAGGGTAGAAGCCAACTTCTCCAGTGTTCAGTGTTGGTCCTGCTTCAGAGCTTTTATGCTGTGTAACATGCTGCTGATCAGAATGAGGGTGATTGAGGTGGTGGATGCTTTGTCTCTAACTATAGGAGTAACTGACCTTTAGCTATTGCAGCACAGACATAAACCAGTTTTACCTGCAAGCTTCAGTATGGTGGTGTTATTATTTAGCCTTCTAGTACTTTCCCTTTTTGTACGACTGCATTTAGTCAGATTGCATCACAGCCATAGTTTAATTTGGTCTTTTAAGACTCCTACATCATTACACATTATAAACATGCTTAATTTTACATCTTTTACTGAAACAGAATCTTTAAAAATGGTGGTTGTATAATTGTGTTTATGCGATGAAAGTTTTGCCTTAAGTGTTGTTTTTTAATCCTTTAAACCTGTTCTGCTTTTACAGAGGATGTGCTGAGTAAAGATACTGGGGAGTGTGCAATATGCCTGGAAGAGCTTCAGCAAGGGGATACCATAGCACGCCTGCCTTGTCTATGCATATATCATAAAGGGCAAGTATTCTTCACGCTATCCTTCCCAGACAAAATTCCATATACCCACATCGGTTGGTGTAATTTTTTATGAAGGATGTTTAAAGGGACACTTAACATCTAGTCACTTTAAAAAAACAAAAGTACTTCAGGTACTACATCTTGAGGTACCCTCTTTTACCCCTTTGCTTTTTCTAATTGCTGTTTGAAAATCTCCCAGAAATAAAATGAGGAAAAGTTTTGTCCAAGAGAAGAAGTAAAAACCACTATATGTATACAGGTTGTACCTCCCTTAACCGGATCTCCCTGATCCAGCAACATTCAGGGTCCAGCACAGACCATGGATGTTCCTGAACCACAGAGCCCAGGAACAGGAAGGTCTGGAGGTGAGCAGGAGCGCTGTAGGGGGCACCAGCAAGTCAGCTAGGAGCCCTGTGTGGGGGGGGACACGGGGGGGAGAGGAAGGGTTCGGGGAGCGGTGGCTGTGGCGCTTTGCCTCAGCTCCGTTCTGGCCCTAGACTCAAGGGCAGCCATGGAGCTCCGGCTCCCGCCCTCTATCCTGGCCCTCGACTGTGCAGCTCTAGCCCCAGCCACAGAGTGAGGCGGCTGTGGAGCTCTGCCGAGGCTGCAGAGCTGTGGCTGTAGTACCCCAGCAGCTGCAGGGCCGATGGCATCTAGCAAGCCCCAGGGGAGGCTGGGGCAGCATTGGGGGTAGGCTGGAGTCCTAACCCAGTGGCAGCATGGGCTAGGAGAGGAGGGTCCTCTCCTGGTCTGGCAAATCTCCTTGTTTGGGACCAGTCAGGTCCCAAGGGTGCTGGACCAGCAAGGTGTCCAACCTGTACATGTATTCTGTTGAATGCACAGGGTAAGATTGAGAAATATGTTTTTCTGGGTTTTGGTATTCATTTTAGATGGTGTTTATAACAATAATGTACAACAATTGCAGGCAGTAGTATGAGTAGGGTACTCATGTCCCTCTTAAATGAAACAAGTACACAAAATAATTTGTAAATTTGTTAAAATGTCAGAAATAAACAGTGACATGTTACACATCAGTTTCGCTAATGTTTAATACATAGTATCATACAATACAATAATCGGTGAATGTTGAAAAATACTATGTCATGCATGCTGGTTGAAATTAGGGATGTTAGCTATCATGTAACTGAATAGTTGTGTAACAACATAATTTATCATTGGTTACACAATTATTTGGTAGTCCCAGGGGTTGGAGCTGGCAGCCAGTGGGATACGGAGCCTCTGCATGGAGCTTGGACCTCCTATGGACAGAGGCTGCTTCGCAGCAGTCTCCCCTGCGCTGCTTATGCCTAGGCTTATCAGTTAATTGTTTACTTGACTGTACACTAACATCCCTAGTTGAAATAACTTTGGTCTTAAAACACATTTTCTCTCCCTTCCATCTCCCCATGTTCTAATATTTCCAGTCATTTGATTTTAATTGTTAAAACATTTAATACACATAACAATTATTCTCTTCCATTCAAACAGCTGCATAGATGAATGGTTTGAAGTAAATAGATCTTGTCCTGAACACCCTTCAGACTGAGACTACAAGGTTCCTGTTATGTAGGTAACTTCTCTTTTTGCATATTTTATTGATCTTTTCAGTAATAAGTACATTAAATATGTAGTCAGAACTAAGGTCCCATGGGAAGCAAGATTAAGGAAAAACAACTGAAGAGAGTTGGCAGTTTTTAAAGGGACATTATTAAGGGCCCAAAAGCAAACTCTACCACTGCATAGGAAAGTTGGAAGGTATGGTAGGAGATCACCTGAATCAAGCAGGATATCTTACATGATGTAAAAATCAAAAAGGAGTCATATAAAAAGTGGAAACTAGGTCAAATTACAAAGGATGAATATAAGCAAACAACACAAGTATGCAGGGGCAAGATTAGAAAGGCAAAGGAACAAAATGAGCTAAAACTAGCTAGAGACATAAAGGCTAACAAGAAGACATTCTACAAAAATATTAGAAGCAAGAGGATGACCAAAGACAGAGTAGGCCCATTGCGCTCAATTGCGGCAGTATGTCTCAGCCACGCTGCCTTGGGCCCTGCGAACTCTTTGGCTGGGTCTGCTTTCAAGTACCTAAAAAGGTGTTGCTGGGGGAGCAGGGAGGGATTGTTCTCCTTGACCTCTGAGGCTAGGACAAGAAACAATGGGCTTAAATTGCAGCAAGGGAAGTTTAGGTTGGGCATTAGGCAATTTATTCCAGTGTTTAACCACCCTTACAGTTAGTAAGTTTTTCCTAAGGGGGGTTATGGAATCTCCATCACTGGAGATATTCAAGAGCAGGTGGGATAGACGTCTCTCAGGGATGATCTAGATCAGTGGTCCCCAATCTTTGGAGGTTGCTGGGTGCCAGGGGGCGTGGCCGGGCGCCGCGGGGCTGGGGCGGGGCCCCCCTCCACGTGCCACATGCCCGGGGCCGGCGCCTCCTCCAAGCTCCGGCACTGTGCACACGCCACGTGCCCAGGGCCAGGCCAGCCCTGAGCACGTGGCAGGCGCACATGAATGCCCCCGCGGGTGTCATGGTGCCCGCGGGCACCGTGTTGGGGACCACTGATCTAGATGGTGGTTGGTCCTGCCATGCGGGCAGGGGACTGGACTTGATCTTTTGAGATCCCTTCCAGTTCTAGTAGTCTGTGATTCTAAGTTTATCCTAAAATAGTCAGGTTATTGTAGGCTTTAAATAGATAGTAAATATACTGGAATGTATAAATGGTTTTTGCACACTCACATCCAGTACAGTGTAGTCTAGAATAAATTGCAATTTAACTACTCGCAAAGGGAGAAGCAGTAATGCCAGCCTTTTAAAATTATTTTGTTGTGCAACCTAAACTTGCTTAAAATACCAATTACCCGTTATTTGTGTTAGTTTAGTGAATGACCATTCCTTTTATACTGAAATCTGCATTTTCATTTAGGATGTTATATAATTTTCACTGATACCCTGCTGATTACTTTCAACAAACATTTTATCTTGTATTGCTTTTTCTGAAATGCATATATAATGTTACGGACCTGCCTGTCTCCCTCTCCCCCGTATTCACACAGGTACAAAGCTTTCCTGGTTTTTATTATTATGTGTTAATGGTTTAGATCCCAAACCAGTTAGTCAAAGGATTAAGGGGGGCATTTTTATTCTTGCGGGTAACTTGCTTACACTCAACTCCAATCATTACAAAACAAATTAGGGTTTATGTTAAACACTATGTCAGGGAATTTGAACTCTTTGCCCAAAATAGTATAGTGATTTTTTTTTGAAGCAATCTTTGATTCCGTGGTGTTCCTTTTCACTTTACAAGCATGTGTTGTAGCTCACGCTGCAGTCATACTAGAGATGGTTATGCATTGTCACACTTGCCAAAGTACACATATCTGCAGGGACAACTGTTTTTCCCATAGCATAAGATTAAGACTAATTTTTCAACTTGGACGTGTACTGTACATAGTGTCATGTGTTTCAACCACAGGAGAAGCATAAGAGGCTGTTTGCAATAATGTTTATCTTTGAAAATACTTAAGGATGTTTCACTTGGTATTTTAAATTGATATAACAAGGAGTCCGGTGGCATCTACTAATGTAACATATGCCATCATGTGCCACAGTGACTCTCTGCGACAGGGCAACTCAACTTTGGAAGCCCCAGGTGCCACAATGATACTCACAGCACATGCTGAGGGCTACAACTGAAGTGTGGTTGCAAATATATGCAAATGTCTTCTTCCACACTGACAGGCCTGAATACAAAGATTAAGGCAAAACTACACAACACGTAGGCCTAATTTAAGTCAGATCTGCTGATATTAATAAAATGCAATATTTACCCAATTTCCACCAATATGACAGCACTTTGCTGAACTGTCATTGCTCATGAAATTTAACTACTAGAACACACATCAGCAGAAGATCATTATATTGACTACTTTTTTGTTTTGGCTTTGCAATTTTAACAACTCAAACAAAAACTGCCAATACAATATTTACTGAAATATAAGTACAAATAATGTGAAGTTAAAAGCACTGAGCAGAGAAGTGGCATAGCTAGAAAAGGAACTCAGGAATCCTGCTTCCCAGAATCCCTTTTTTTCCCCTCCCTGCCCCACCAAGCACCAGTTCCCACAGTCCTCAGAGTAGAGACTGGAACCCCCAAATCTAACCAACAGACCAGACCCACTGCCCACCTACAGGAAAAGAAAAGTCAGAAGTTTTAACACCCAGTTTTCCCCCCCAGAGCCAGGTACCCCCCCCAGACACCTGCTCCAACCCAGTGTCCCTCCCTTCCCCACAGAGCCAGGCACCCCCCAGCCTCCTTGCTCTAATTCAATGGCCTTTCCCTCCCACAGAGCCGGGGACGTAAATCTAGTGGGGCAGAGGAGAATGCCCTGGGTCTCACCAGAGCCACACGCTTTTACCTCCAGGCGTGTCCCTTTTTTTCCCCTCCCTGCCCCACCAAGCACCAGTTCCCACAGTCCTCAGAGTAGAGACTGGAACCCCCAAATCTAACCAACAGACCAGACCCACTGCCCACCTACAGGAAAAGAAAAGTCAGAAGTTTTAACACCCAGTTGCCTGCTCTAACCCAGTGCCCCTCCCCTCCCCCAGAGCCAGGTACCCCCCCCAGACACCTGCTCCAACCCAGTGTCCCTCCCTTCCCCACAGAGCCAGGCACCCCCCAGCCTCCTTGCTCTAATTCAATGGCCTTTCCCTCCCACAGAGCCGGGGACGTAAATCTAGTGGGGCAGAGGAGAATGCCCTGGGTCTCACCAGAGCCACACGCTTTTACCTCCAGGCGTGTCGCTCTGAACGTTCCATTGAAGGCACGTGCTGCTGCCCCCTCCTTTGCAGGGCAAAAAAATCCCAGACATGTTTTGCCTTTTAAAAAAGCTGTCCAGATGGTGATTTAACATGTAAAAACAAGGACATGTCCAGGAGAAACCAGACATATGGTAACCCTACCCAAGCCCCAGCACAGACCTTCCTCACCCCAGCCTTGCTGCTTGGCTTCACCGTAGTCTGACTGCCCAGCTCTGCCACTGCCTTGCCACGTGCCTCTTGCCACCCCCAGCAGCTCTTGCGCACGCGCCTACGTGGCCTGGTGCAAGCACTTAGGCAGAAGCAGCAGACTTGCTTTGCTGCCACCTTTTGCCATCCCCCGCTGGCCAGGAGCTACTGCGCATGTGCTGATGCAGCTTGTCAGTGCCGCACCGTGCGGCTCTGCTCGCAGGGAGGTGCTGCCGTTGTGGCAGACGCGGTAGGTGTCCTCTGCCGCCGCCTCCCCTCCCTTTACCCCCGGCCAGCAGGCAGCTCCTGCACACCCAGCATGTCTCTGCCGCTGGAGCCCCAGCAATGAGGCAGGCAGGTGGCCGGGGAAGTGGCTCAAGGCACCATGGGCCGCATGCAAAGGGGCTGTGGGCCACTTGTGGCCCACAGGCTGTGTTGAGTAGCCCTGCTCTATGATGTACATTGGACAAATCAGACTGTCTCTATGAAACACAATAAATGGACGCAAATCAGACGTCAAGAATGGTAACATACAAAAACCAGTGGGAGAACATTATAACCTCCCTGGACATACACTTACACACTTGAAAGCTGCCATACTCAGATGCGAAACAAGCAATAAAAAAAAAAAAAAAAAAAACCTTCAAAAACAGGCTGCAATGTGAAACTGCTGAACTTGAATTCATATGCAAATTTGACACCGGCAGAATGGATCTGAATAGGGGGTTGGGAATGGCTCTCTCATTACAATAAGTAGTTTTCCACTTCAGGTATTCCCACCTTATTCAAATCTACGCTGATTTAATTATCTCTGATGTAATATTCCCAGCTCTGTATGGCTACTTTCTGTTTCTGTCACTTCATTCATCTGCCAAAATTCATGGAAGTTGATGCCATAAAAAAATTTAGTCTTTAAGGTGCCACCAAACTCTGTGATTTTGCCAAAAAAGACTAACGTGGCTACCTCTCTAAATAAAATGCTTTTAAATTGTAAAGGATAAGAATGATACACTGGGATAAAATAGGGAAAAATAGGTTTTCTTTGGATTTCTTTGCATTAACAAGTAATTCATTATCGTGTAACTTACTGAACTAGCTAGGAAAGTAATATTTGTCATCTTTATTGGTTTTCTCACAGCTTCTTACACGGATCAGAAAATGTAGAGGATTTAAGATTCTGTCTTTGGACATACATTTGAGAACATACTTGGCTTCAGACTTGTGTTCCTGTGCGGCTGGAAAAGGCAAAGATAGACAGTTGTGTGGAACAAAAGCTGTAGAATCCATTTGCTTGCCAGTAGAGTCGGCATACCGGACACGCAGGGATTTTGAAAATGCTGCACATCCTGTAACAGTCTTCTTGCCACAGATGTTATTGATTATTTGTATTCTAAAGGCCAAAGTTGTTGTTTTTCAGTCTAACTTTTCTGCAGAAGCAGGTTATGGTTCTCTCTTCTTACTCTCACCCAAATGGAAATTGATACATTCTAAATCAACACTATCTGAAACATTTTTGTGAGGATCCCCATATTTTTGCGTGGAAGTGTTTTAATCTCCTCTTAGGCTGAAGAATTGTAAATGGCAAGCAGTCTAGCACTATGACCTTATTCACTGAATTCACACCCTGTCCTCAGTATGTTCTTCACCTTTTTCAAGAATGGAAAATGAAAACTACTTCTGCATAGGAAAACTGTATTTCAAAGTTTTTTTTAACTAAATCTTTGTCATAATGCTGTCCAAAGAATAAACCAAGGCAGGTGACTAACTTTTATTGATTGAGCTATAGAATTGTTGAAATCTGGATGCTGTATTGTTATTTAAGCGTACTAAAATGTCTCTCTTAAAGCTTTTGGTTAAAAAAATTCAGCAAAGCATAATCTTGCAGCTATGCAACTTTTTTTACTGGGAGAAATTTAAGTGCTGCCAGTCAAGGTAATTCGTTTAACGGGTATTTTTTTTTAAAAGTTTCAGGTAATTATTTTATTGTACTACTTTCATCTCTAGTCTGTCTCTTCAGGTTTAGGAGAATAACTGTGAAAATGGGCACAGTGATGTTTCCTAGGCATTATAGTAATGATTACATGGGGTGGGATTTGCATTAACTTTTGAAACACTTTTATATGCAAATTTTTAATTGAAATTTTCTTGATAGCAGAGCCATAGTAATTTGCACCTCACATCATTTATCTGTTTGTTAAAAATACTGCCAAATGCTAATATCCACAAACACCTGCATTTGTTTAATTTATTACTGTTTTCCTATATCACTATATTTGTCTTATCAGGGCTTAGCACACATCAGAATGGGGGAACAGAAAACAAAATGTGGATGAATGAGAGTTCCCATAAAACATCACAATAAAAAAAACTGGAATAAATATCACAGCTTAGAAGAAAAACATTTTATTTCAAGAATTGATATGTTGCAGCTTCTGAATTTTCACATTATAGGGACAGATTGACTATTTATTACTAGCTGCAATTTTTAGTTGTTTCAATAGCAAAAATAAATTACACCACACCTTTTTCTTAAGTGTATAAGTATTTTCTTGTGTACTTAATTTGGTGTGCTATGTATTCTTAAGTCTATAACTTTTCCCTCTGTTGCTGCTGTTTCATAATAAAGGCAAGTAAAGGAGCAACTGCTGCCACCCATAAGAATTAATGCATTGCACAGTATAACAACCCATTTTGCTTGTCAAATGACTTTGTCTAGATTACTTTTTCCCTTAAACGTTATGCTGTGAAATGCCTTTTGTTATGCTGCAAATCTGATGCAATCAAAACTAGTTAATGCTGGCAACTGATAGCATGGTTTCCTAGGGGCTTTTTTTCCCCTTGCATAATCTTTCAATTGAATCTATAGTTATAAGGCCCAGTCATACTCTTTGACTTCAGTGGCAGCAGAATCAGATTGTCGTGTTTTAAATCATGTAGTCACATCAAATACGCTTTCCCAACAAATGGTTAAGATAGTACAGGTTGAAACTCTGGCATGGATGTTTCCGGACTAGAGAGTCCTGGTGGAGGGTCAGTGGCAAGGATCCCTGCAAGGCTGGTAGGACAGTGGGCTGCCCGCTGCGAGCGTAATATGGAGCCATCCAGCAAGTCTGCCTGATGGGGTTGGGAGACACGTGCATGGCTGCCTGGCAGGATCCATGCCACGTGGCTACCCCGTGGGTCCCAGAGCCAGGGCAATGATGGCTGCCCAGCAGGTTGGCAGGGCAGCAGGAAGTGAGGAGCCAGCAGGGGGTCCTGAGGGTGCTGGACCTGGGAGCTCCAACCTGTACTTTTCAGTATAGGTTCTGTTGTAGCAGGGAATTGTTTTGCTGCCTTGCATTATGGCAAGCGTTAAAGCAGTGGTAGGTAATATTTTACTAGGGATGTTATTGCCTAGAGGTTTGCTTTTTTGCTATTTTGAATCACTTATCTTGAAAAAGTAAATTTTTTTGCATTTACATTGATTTGTTGTTGGCTTCATGCCATATAATGTCAATGCACAATACACTCAAGTAGTGCTAATTATCTTCCCTCCACATCAAACTGTGGGCTCAACTGTTGGAGCAGAAACTCCTCTGTAAGTTACAAAGAAAGTTTGGCATATTCTGGTATCCTGTTTTTGTAGGTAGTCTCTGTTTTAGGCATTAAATAAATCTGTATTTAAACATGAATCTGTTTACAGTTTACACACTATTTCAGTAGTTCACTCTTTTAATTCAACTGCAATGTTTTCAAAACCCGAATCTTCTAGATTTAAATGTCTAAGTAAATTGTTGAAAGAACAAACTCCCCAGCATTTATCATCATTACCAGACTTTAAGGCCAGTGTGCATGCTGTAGCTGAAACATGCCAGCAGCTGTCACTTACATATGGTGTCTGCTTGCAGATTTGCCCCAGCCATTGGAGAGAGTGGATTTTTTGGACTGTTCAGAATTGTTAGTATGGCTTCAGTACTGAGGCCTAATCGTAGATTCCTGGTTCATCCAAAATGTTGATGTCAATGGAAGTTTTGGCAGAGCCAAGGAAAGCAGGATTAGAGCCTTTAATGTGGATGAAGATTAAAACAATACTGAAAGATTAAACAAAAACTTGTATTCAGAGCTTCCTGTGGAAGGCTAAATGCAAGCTTTCATTTCAAACTACTGTTTATCAATATTCTGAAAAAAATATTGTACACACAACTGCAAAATAAGCCTATCCTCATTTTAAAAATATCTCCTCACCAAGACCTTGGACCAGTGTTCAATAGGGAGGGGAAATGTTCCATCACTGAGTAGAGGAAGACCACACTTTCACACATTAAAAGCCAATAGGTTATGATAAAATTTAAGTGTGCCACATTTTCTGCCTGTAAATATATACATTGCCAATTTATGTTGCTTGAGTTTATTTTCTTTTTTGTGGTGTATATCTTGCCCAAGTATGGAAGAGGGAACTAATTCCCATACTCAGGTTTGCCATATACATGCTGCTTGCCATAAAGAACAGATGTGGGTTATCTAGAAATGTGACTTAGTTATCTAGCAGATGAGTTGAGTAAAAGATTTGTTAAAGTGGCTATGATTTGGGTTTTATATGATCAGCCCAGAGAGCCATGCTGCTAGCCATTAAAGGACAGTGATTATCCTGTCTTTTGTATTTAAGGTATCTGTTCTCACTTTTTATGTTTTAAATAGTGAGCTAGTTTTCACTGTGCATGTACTCTAGAAATTGATTTGAGTGGAACGTAAAAGGAAAATGTGACTCCTACTTAACATGTGCAGTATTTTATTTTGAGAAAAATGAATTTATTTAAATGGATTAAAATGGATTAAAAATTAGAGCATCTCAATTCTAGGGTGCAAGGAGAAGTGTACTGTAGTATTGTAATTGGGACATTTGAAGGTAACCTACAATGGTGGGAGTAAATTCTTTGTGTTCTCTTCTTTGTTTTGTCATGTTTTGACTCCCAATTTTGCTGGAAAGCAAAATTTGACCTCACAAGAGGCTTAAACATGAGCAATTGTTGGACAAGGAATTTTGAGTCAGAACTTTTGAAACTTTGTTTTATAACTTTGTTATATCCTCTAACCTCCTCCTGACAAAGACTTGGGAGAATTTTTCCAGATGGAAGATTGAGCACTCTAACTCTTATTTTAGGGTTTAAGATGTTCTCTCCTCAATCTTCCAGCAAAACCAAGGAAGTTGAAACTTAATGTTCTTGATATCTCTAAGGAAGCAGGAGCAAACAGTATTTTTTTTTAAATGCACTTGCTTTCAGTTCCCTTTCAGGTTTCTATTAATCTGAGTTGCTTTGTCACGTGGAATAGAATGATTCCACTTAGATTCAGTGTAGCTGTTGTATTTGCTATTTATGTGGTGGAGAGGGAGTTTCCTGATGGAATACAGAAGTGCTGACCTGAAGATTTCCAATTTGTCCATGCCAATGGGTTATCTCAGCTCTGATTTGACCAGCGCAAAACTTTACTTTTCATGCAAGTTTCAATGCTGCTTTTCCTTTCTTCCTCCTTCTACCCCAACAAGCCATATGATTTTTAGGAATTTATTCTACCCTTCTTCTTTGGACAGAGCTTCCATGATGTCAGTAAAAATACACACACAAACTCATTGGAAGAGGAATGTTTGTCAAAACTCTTGCTTCAACCATTTTCTAAGGTGTGCTTTTATCAGCAGGTGCAGTTTGCCCCACTTAAATTCTTGCCATCTGAAATGGCCATGAGCAGGAGATTCTGCTCAAAACAGTGGCAATGTTTTCTTTATGAAATACAGAATTTATACTTGACTCTATTGCATAGGTTGCGTAGAGAAGTGAATTGCTCACTTCTGAAGTCCGTTTTGTCATGACAGACATTAAAGATATTTCCCTGTTGGAATGGAGGGCCCTTCCCCAGCTGTACTTTAGTTGTAAATTTGTCTGTTTTTTGTGGTTGTGCTCTGAAATTGGAACTGAGCTTTTGAATTTTGTTCCAGTAATTTCTCAGGCCACTGTACAGTGTTGTATAGACTACAAGCTCTCTTACCTTCATAATGGGTATGTCAGAGTCACCGACTGGATACATTGTAAACTGACTTAATGAAAGACATTGCTAGTTAACTGAAGATTTTGCTCTGGTAAGCAACTATAGCATATTTGCGTTTTCAGGAGGCTGGACTTGATTGGCTAGTATGTGTTTCTTGGCTCTGGGATTGATTAGTTTTCTTTCCTTAACACTTGTTGCTTACCTGTTTTTACTACTTGTTCATTTCCTTGTGTTAGCTTCTAATTAACTTGTTGGTATGAGACTTTCCCCTGGAGTTTGCTTTGACAAAGGTTTTTCGAGGATAAGATTGAGTTGACTTTGGCAGAGTGTCAAATGTAAGTAACCCCTCCCCCCACACACCTGCAGGTAAATAGCCTCTGTTGTTGAATCCTGTTTGTTCTTGTTCTCCTCAGAAGCTCTGCCTTTTTTATCCCTTTGTTATATTAGAAAGTGCTTTAATGGCAAATATAATGGTCACAAGTTCCTAACGGTTATAAGTAATCGGGACATCCAGGTATGGCCTCATGCATAATAAGGGGTTCTGTTAAAATAAAGCTGAAATGTTGATCATTGTATAGTAAATAACACTCTTCCAGAGAACTTTGCCAAATTGCTGCACTTGAGGAAGGGGAGGCAGCTCAGTTATTGAGGGGATGTTATAATGGCCATCTTAATTTTAAAAATTCAACTTATTTTAGCAAGTGGTGATTCATCATGGAACCTTTCCAGTTGCCTGAGAAACTCTCATACTCTTTTCTTACCATTAAGCAGCAAGCTGATGGTAAAAGGTGAAGTGCAACCACCGGTTCACGTACCTGTTCCCATAAAATTAAGTGTACACAAAGTGCTAGATGGAACTGTAATAGTTTATGAATGCTACAATTATTTGTAGTGGTAATGGACAAGAAGTCTTCCTTCATTACCCTGAGTATAAGTAAGAATGTAACTTGCAATGTAAAACATGTTTGTAAATTTTGTAATTGAGCAGTATGATTGGAAGCTGACTTAAGTTGTGTTAAGGTACATTTTTGATGGTCTGTCAGTGTGTAATCATGAACTGAATATTTTTTATTGATTTAGGGTGTATGTTTAACATTCCATTTATGTAAAATATGTACAAATATATGTGTAATAAATCTTTTGAAGCACAGTTTGCCATGATTCCAGGTGACTTCAGTATTACTGCAAAGAAAAATGCTGTAGATTGGGCAGAGTTGTTGTCTCTGTTCTCTGAGAGACTATTGAAACACCAGAAATAAAGAACCAACAGCAACGTGGAGGAACAATTCCGAGAAAAGCTTGTTGGCTCTGCTGACCAATGCTGGCTCCCCATATGGTCCCTTTGGATCCTGCACTATGCAGAAGATGTAGAACAGGCTTAATTTGCCAGCTGAAGATTGAGCTGACACTATGCCACCTCCAGTGAAATGTGCAGGGCTAAGGGAAAGACATGAGGGGAGTGGCATTACCCTCTGGGAGTAGTACAAGTTGGAGCAGCCCTGAGACCTATTGTCCAATCTCTGAAAAATGGAGGTGTGAAGTGGTGGGAGGTGCTAAATTGGCAGAAACTCTCTTTTATGGTGAAGCATGGTGTGTTAGTACTTCGTTCAATTTGAACTCTTTGTGAAACAACCACTCTGTTTCTCTTCAAAATGTAATGGTTCATTGATTTGTCCATCTCTCAGCTGTGAGTGGATTTCCTTATTGCTCCAGATGGTTGCCAGTGCCCCACATCTGCCTCTAGGTTAAATGCTGGTGGGAAAGCTTCCTTGGAGACCTGTTTGTTTCTAAAGGAGCTGATGGCTAGACAGGGCTGCAGAAGAAGCAGATGCTGGCAAAGCAGTGTGTAAACGGGCTCTCTGGTGAGGGTAGAGCAATTTGTACAGGTAAGTGGCTTCTGCAAATGTAATCCCTTGTTGGAAGAGGGCAAATAAAAGAGCAGATGGCTTATCTGGGCTGTGAATTCTGACTGCTGCAAGGACTAACAGTACTATTAGGGCTATTATACTAGCACTTCCTGTCTGCATTGATGTTGGCCACATCCTGGCTGTACAGATGCTGGCACTGTTGCTTGTGCACCACTGGGAACATTTAGCTGCATGATCACATGGTGGTGTATTACAGGCATGCTAGGGAGCTCAAAAAGTGATTGGCATATCAAATTTCATGAGCATAGATGGTGGCTTATGGCCAATTCCTCATATTATGAGCAAAATCAGACAAAAAGGGGTGTTTCACAGAGCAGCTATAGCAAATTTGAGGAGGAAACAAAATCCTTTTTCCTTCATTCACTCCCAAACTGCCAGCTAGACATGGGATTCACATGCTAGTCTCCCTGTGACCACTGTTCCCTCTAAGATTTTCGAAGTTTTGTGGTGATGTTTCAGGTGTGCTTTGTTGTGATATAGCTGGGAGAGCCAGTAGTTATTCCAAACTTCAGATGGTTTGCTTGAGTGCAGAATTTGGTCCTTCCTTCCTCTCTCCAAGTCATAGCCTACACACCAGGAAGACAGTTTAGTTTGGTGTGTGGGGTGCTGAGCTAGAAGACGAGACACTTGGGTTCTATATGTGGTTCTGCCACTGATCTCTCTCTGACCTTGAGCAAGTCACATCACCGCTCTGTGCCTCAGTTTTCCATTTCCCTCATTTCACCTTGTTCCCATCTTTTCTATTTAGCTTATAAGCTCTTCAAGGCAGGGACTATTCCTTGCTGTGTTTGTGCTTGTGCCTTGAAGTACGAGGCTCCAATTCCAGCGTGGGCCTCTAGGCACTACTATAATAGCCACTGGCTGAGGTTTACGCAATATATAATAGGAAAGAAACCTGGTCACTGTATACTCCTGTCAGATTTCATTTGCCAAACATGTTCATTTTAACTGGAAAATGGCAAAAATGGCAGCATGGGGCTCTTTGGTAGTGAGAAAAACTGACTATAAAACTCTCAGGTTCTTTCTGGGCTTTAGCCCAAGTTTCTCAGAGGCTGTCCACCATGATGCCAGATGGGTGCCTCCCCACTCTACTTGTATGGAGATCATCTGGGACAACCAATGTAAAGCAACATAGAGAAAGCCAGTAAAATAAGACAGCTTATTACCATTAGGATTCTTTCTGGGGGAGTCTCTAAGAGTTTACTAAATGAATTATTCACATTCATGTCTTCACCGACAGGGATTTAGCTAGAATTACCATGAAATGTGCCCACACTCTTTGCTATTCTGATTTTTCTTTTTCTCTTAGGCTTTTGCTAAGCGTGTGCTTTCTCCCCCTCCATTCTGGACGCATGGAAAGAGGGCTTTATTATGGAAGCAGTTGATATTTAGGACAACAATGTCTGCTCTAGCAACAGGAATTCGGCTGGAAATTATTCCAATCCACCAGGTACAGAAGTTCATGTTGTTGAATTTAAATTGGTGGCATCTGAGTTCATGCTATGCTTGATGACGTATCATTAGAACATATCAGCTCTGTCTTCAATTAAGAGAGCTATGCTTCATTTGGCTTGGCAGTTAATCTACCGTAGATGCCTGCACTAGAATGTTAATCAGGTGCTGTAGGGATTACAGCATGCAAAGGTGGACCCTGTTCGTGGGGCTGTTGGCATGAAATGTGAATGCTGCACAATCTACAGCTGGGCCTAAAGTGTGTTTAAAATTTGCCTGCTTTGCTTGTGAGGATTGAGCTATGTTTTGGCCTGTGCTCTGCTGTACATGTGTCATAGATGTGAGAGGGATGCAATGACAGAGGGAGAACCTAA